TCTGGTGTTCCTTTAGAAAGTGCTCTCGGTGGAGGGCAGGACAGGGTGACCAGATGGGATAAGCCAATGGTGGGGAACTGGTGCCAGTGTACCCCAAAAGGGAAGGCAGACAAGTAGGTCTCATCAGAGTTAAGACCCAAGAGAGGAAAACATTTCTCAAAGGAAGTCTTTGGGGCTGAGAAGTACACCTGGAGATTTCTCGAATATCCAGGCTACCAGCAGCCTGGAGCTTTCTTTTTTTTTCTTTTTTTTTTTTTAATGTTTTTTTATTTGTGAGAGACACACTGAGAGAGAGGCAGAGACACAGGCAGAGGGAGAAGCAGGCTCCATGCAGGGAGCCCGATGTGGGACTCGATCCCCGGACCCCAGGATTATGCCCTGGGCTGAAGGCAGCACTAAACCACTGAGCCACCCAGGTGTCCCAAGCCTGAAGGTTTCATGCCAGTCCCCTGGCTGTCCTTTCTGCCCTGTGTTATTCTGTTTTGTTCCCAATTCTGATTAAATCGTCTTCCCATACGGCCCCAATCTCTACTTCTTTTTTCCCACCCTCTCGTGCGGTTTGGAGAACCCCAGAAAGCACGGCTGCCTCACTCCACCCAGCTCTGCTGCCCGTCTCTAACTTTGCACCTGAGGTTCTACTGTTTGTGTGCACAGCCACCTGCCCTGGCTCAGCCAGCAGGAAGTCAGGAAAGCCCTCAGGTGCCCAAGTAGCAGGCTGTGTGTGGGATGAAACCAGGCCAGGCTACAGCCAGATACATGCCTCTGAAGGATTCACTTGCCACTCTCAGCCTGCTCCTCCTCTGTAAAATGGAGATCATACCTCTGTCTAGCTCACAGTGAGTGTCAGGGTCAGATGAATGGATGTATTTGAAGGGCCCCTTATGGGGCACCTGGATGGCTCAGTGGTTGAGTATCTGCCTTCCACTCAGGTTGTGATCCAGGGGTCCTCCCTGCAGGGAGCCTACTTCTCCCTCTGCCTGTGTCTCTGCCTCTCTCTGTGTGTCTCTCATTAATAAATAAAAACTTTAATTTAAAAAAAAAAAACTGCTTGTACTAAAGCTCACAGACACTTGTTACCGGTAGTTGAAGAGTGGAAAGGGTTAAGGAGAAGCAATAGATGTAAACCAGTTGTTCTCAAACATACTTGTGCTCCAGAATCCCCTTGAGGCCTTATTAAAACAGATTGCTAGGCCCAGCCCCCAGAATTTCCGATTCCTAAACCCAGCCTGCTAGCCCAGGAATTTACATTTCTATTAACCTTCTGGATGGTGCTGAGGCTGCTGGTGGGAAAACCACGTTTTAGAAGCACCAATATAAGCTATGCTTGTGTTTCAAAATCTGTGAACAGAACTTCATTTTAAAAATAAACACAGGGGGATCCCCGGGTGGCTCAGCGGTTTAGCACCTGCCTTCGGCCAGGGGTATGATCCTGGGGTCCTGGGATCAAGTCCTACGTCGGGCTCCCTGCATGGAGCCTGCTTCTCCCTCTGCCTGTGTTTCTGCCTCTCTCTCTCTCTCTCTCTCTCTCTCTCTCTCTCTCTGTGTGTGTGTGTATCTCTCATAAATAAATAAATAAAATATTTAAAAAAATAATCTAAGCTTTTTGTGGCTCAGTGGTTGAGCATCTACCTTTGGCTCAGGTCATGATCCCGGGGTCCTGGGATGGAGTCCCACATTGGGCTCCCTGCAGGGAGTCTGTTTCCCCCTCTGCCTGTGTCTCTGCCTTTCTCTGTGCATCTCTGATAGATAGATGATAGATAGATAGATAGATAGATAGATAGATAGATAGATAGATTCTTTTTAAAATAAAAATAAACTATGCTATAGTAGTTTTGCAGTCTTTTTAAAAAGATTTATTTGTAAGTAATCTCTACAACCAATGTGGGGCTCAAACTCACAACCCAGACATCAAGAGTCCCTTGTTCTACCAACTGAGCCAGCCAGGCGACCCTGGTTTATAGTCTTTTAATGGGTTCTAGCTATACATTTGTCTTTGATGAACACATGATATGTTGGTTAAGGGTACCAAAGTGATCACTGGTGTTTTATGAATAAAGAAGGGCCAGGTTTTAGGGCTGGCTGCACTCTGAAAGACTCGTGGGGAGTCTGATGTTTTACAGATGGAGAAAACGAGGCCCCAGATGGTTGAGACAGCTAAATACCACTGGTAGAATGCCCAAGTTGAAGAAGAGAGTGACCAGTAATACATTCCAGTGGACAGAAGACGTGGTGGTCTGGGGCAATGGTGAACTGGGACCAAGAAACCCTACAGTCCTAGTGGCTCATTTGAGGAACAGATCAAGGACAGCATACATGGAGACAAAATGAGAAAAAGAAATAAAAAGAGTCATCTCCATCTGACAGCCTTGCTCCTTACCCTGCCCACTGCAAGGATCCTGGCCCTGACCAGCACTGGCTGTGGCTACTGAGATCAGCACAGAGTTTGCTTGGCAAAAAGCAAAAAGAAGGCTCAATTAAAGAATTGATGAGAACCATCAAATGGACAATACTGTCAAATGGAAACACGTGGCTGTTTAAAAATAAGAAAAATTTCTAACAAGCAGACTCCATACCTTTTGGGTTATTGTTCCATTAAAGCAACTCAGAGTACAGATAAGTTGGTCACACAGACCAGGCCTCTTAGTCTTCCCCGAGAGAGCTGGACAAAACAGACCAGGAGCCCACCTGTGAGCAGAGTTCTGCTCCCAGGACTCTGGGCTGCTGGACACTTTGCCACAGCACCTGCTCACCCTCCCGACTGGCCCAGGGTCCTACCCATACTTCCAGCAGCCACAGCCAGAGCCCCAAGGTAGAGGCTAGAAACCAGACACGTGAAACCCATCACCCTGCCTTAACATCACTGCATAAAGCCTGGAGCATCCTGTGGGAAAATAAACATCAAACATCAAGCTTGAAACTGCCTGAATGGAAGATGGGGCCAGGATGCAGGGAAGACGGCATGGGAGATATGGCTAGAACAGAAGAAAGAATGACAAGGGTTTTTACAGAAACTTCTGGAAGCACATTATCATTTGAAAATGCTGAGAACACTGAATCGTGATAGCTCAAAGCATCTCAGATAGATTAAGGGGTTCATTGCAGTTTGTAGTAGTTTAGTAGGATCTTTTGAAAATTATTTTTTATATGAGTTTTTTTATATATAAACACACACACTTTTTTCTCCCAAGGAATCAGGGTCACTACATTAATTAATCTGGGGGGAAAGTCATTAATTTAGGGGAAAGGACTTTGACCTCAAATGCCTGATCACAGCTATCCTGACCCTCAGTCTTTGTTAGATGACCTGTTTGCCCTCTTCTTTTCCAGTACCTGGCCTCCCCTCTCCAGGGAGACTGTGGATTTACTCAAGTCTGTAGAATAAGCCAGAAATGAAGATAAAGATGAAGCATGTCCCAACAAAGACTGGACGACCAGTCACTCTACCATAGTGTGTGCCCTGCATGGATACATCAGATGTACATGACATAGTAGCCCCCCTGCAAGGCCACCTACCCTACCACCAACGCATCTCATCGCGGATGCAGAGAGAAGGGAGTCGTGCTCAAATATGAGGGATTTAGAAGCAAAAAAATGTGCACACTACCATTTCTTCCATTTATATCTTTGGCTAATGGGGCTGGAGTTGTGAATCTTAAAATGAGGGCAGTTGGCTATAAAGATTGAGAGCCATCAGATAGATGATCAGTCAACAACACAATACAAAATTCAAGACAGCCCCAAAAAACGTTAGAGACAGTACATTAGACATGGAACTGAGGGATGTATTCCATACTGCCTTGTCTGTTATTGTCTTGAATAGATTTCTTTTTTTTTTAGCCTAAGATTTTATTTTTTTCTAAGATTTTATTTTTAAGTAATCTCTACACCCAACGTGGGGTTGAACTCACAACCCTGAGATCAAGAGTCATTTGCTCTACTGACTGAGCCAACCAGGAGCCACTGGTTGGGATAAGAATAGTAGATTCCTATTTAGCTCTTCAGTTTCAATCATTTTCACTTCAATTTAAATCAAATTATTGGGGGGCACCTGGGTGGCTTAGTGCTTGAGCATCTGCCTTTGGCTCAGGTCATGATCCCGGGGTCCTGGGATCAAGTCCCACATCAGGCCCCCCAAAGGGAGCCTGCTTCTCCCTCTTCCAATGTCTCTGCCTCGCTCTCTGTGTCTCTCATGAATAAATAAAATCTCTTTAAAATTTAAATAAATACATAAATACATAAATATATAAACTAACTTATTGGGGCGCCTGGGTGTCTCCATCGGATAAGCGTCCAAGTCTTGACTTCAGCTCAGGTCTTGGTCTCATATGGTTGCTTGTAGGATGAAACCCTGCATCCAGCTCTGCGCTCAGCAGGAAGTTTGCTCCAGATTCTCTCTCTTCCTCTACATCTACCCCTCCCACCCACTCTATGTCTCTCTCCCTCTCTAATTAATTAAAAAATAAATCAACTTCTTATGATCAAAAGATATAGCTAGTTATGTTTTGAGTCACTATATCTTAGTGCTTAGCATAATGGTTTGTCTGTTATAAAAGCCACGTATGTTGAGTCAATTTGATTTGAGGACAGTCACTCCAAAAACATGCTGAACCGGGTTAGAGAAATAAGGGCTACACACCTGAGCCAAAATTCATATCTCATCATTTCATCCTAAATCTTGGGAGAACATGGGAATTTACTCAGATTCCAAGACATTCCTGGAAAAGAATGCCATATGCACTTGAACTTCAAAAAGTTGAGACAAGAACGATTACGTAATGGCTAAAATTATATTCTGACTCTACAATCAAATGGTCTAATAATGGAACAAAACAACCATGCGCCAAAAGGAGTTCCTGATGAGTTCAGATTTGTTTTTTTCCAAATGCATCTACACAATTGAAGAGGAAATAAATGTAGGTAAACACAGAAGGGTGACGCTCACACATACACACACACACACACACACACACACAGTTTGGGGGAAATGGCAGAGTATAAAATAGACCTTGTTCTCATGTTTTATTCTTTTTTTAAATTTGTTCATTTTAGGCAATTCCAGTTTGGGGACCAAAAATAAGAAAAAAAAGAAAAATGACCCTCAGTTGAAGCCATAACAGAAAGAAAGTAGATGTTTCTCTCAATTTTGCTTTGATCTTTTATATCAAGATGGGAGGTATTGACACTGAAACTGAACAAAAAGAGCTGGCAGAGAAATGAAGTTCAAGTCAGTCGAGGAGACACCCTAAAGTTTCCTTTCTAAGAGCTCAGGCACTCTGACCTAAATAAATTACATCTCACAACATGGACACTGTTTGCCAATGTGACCAAAAGCCAGGCAGTAATAATATGCAAGAAATTAGGAAAAGTAGTAGAGGATGGAGGACACATAAAACTCTTGGCTTTTAAAAACAAAAATAAGGTAGATTCTGGAAACGACAGACTCATCAACTCGATGTTAACTCACAGCAGAATCCTAAAATGGTTTAATCAAGCAGTTGGCAAGCATTTAGAAAATAAAGCAGCCAGCACCAATAACCCACAGAGGCTCAATAAATACAAGGCAGGCCACATGATCTCATTTTCTCTTTTGAGAGCATTGTGAGACAAGTGGAGCAAGGAAACCCAGACATGTCTTGATTACTTCCTTTGGAAAAAGTCCTTCCTGGTGTCTGGTGGATAAAGGGCTAAAAGTGGGTTTTAAAACTGGGCTGTATTAGTGTTTTACCAAAGTATAACTTACTAACTAAACCCAAAATGTATGAACTGGGGGCTGCCAGATTCCATATCTGGCCCTACCCTGATCAATATGTATCAGCAAGAGGAACACTTCAGAAGAAATGTTTACCAACTCTGTAGGTGATACCAGGATAGGAAGGAGTGTTCATCTATTAGACACAGCATCATGAATCAAAAGTGTCTCAGCAAGCAGCAGTGATGCAATGAAATTTTAAATTCAAGTAAAAAAAGATTAACTCAATAAAATTCAAATTTAAAAAAAATCCGATAAAAAATTCAAATCCTATAGTGTATAAATCCTTGGATATAAATACAGGATAGGGTCTCTGGAAACAAGACAGGTGACACAAAGAAATGTACTCTTGAAAAAGGACTATCAGATGGTTGAAGAGGAAGAGACTTGCTTTGATACACTTCATAGGAAAAGATCCAGAAGTTATGAAGGAAAGTGGGAAATGTAGTGTGAAAACAAGACTACTTCCCTGGAGGATATGATATGCATGAGAATTGTCTTCAAATATTTGAAGGACTGACCTCTGAATGAGAGATCAGACAAGTCCACATCTCGAGGTGAGACTCTCCCCAGAGGTCACAGGGATGAAGACTTGGACTCTGTTAAGATATTTCTTATCATCTTCACTATCCAAGACTAGGATGAGCTGTTGTGTGAGGTAGTGAGGTCCCTGCTGCATGGCCCAGCCAGAAAGAGTGCGTACAAAGATGCTGAGTGTTTAAGATGCTTGAAGTCCCCACCGAGGAGTTCTTCATGTAGCTTATTTCCTTACACACAATACCCATGATCTAATAAGGAGGGCAGTAAGGTGTAGTGGTTAAAATCTCCACATCAGCTTGCTCAGGTTCGAATCCCAGCTGTGCCAATTACTCACCGTGTGAGCACAATGACTGTGAGCAAGTTAACTAACCCCCCTCCCCGGACCACAGGGACCCCCTCTGCAAAATGAGGATGATACGAGCCTCCTCCCCAAGGGGAGGCTGTGAAGGTGGAATCAATGGCCATGCAGCATCCAGAATAGTGTCTGTGGCATAGGAAATGCAAAATAGAGTTTGCAATGGGTTATGCATGATTGCTCTGCAATCTTTTTGATCATCTGAAGATTCCTGGTCACTGAGTCCAGGCACAGTGTGACATTCACCAGACCGAACAGGAGATTTTCACTAGAAGATGAGAAACAGGGTGTAGGTACCTAGGGGTTGCTATACAATAGGGAACAGCACAGCAGGGAGCAAAAGGGAAAAGTCAGGGACCTCCCTCCTCGTGCAGGGACCCCCATGATTCCTAAAGTCAGCTACCACTGGCAGACGTTTCCATCTCCAAGTCACCCTTAAGATGTAAGCTGCCACCCCATCTTGGTGGTCAGCAAGAGTCAGGGGTCTAGGGAGCAGCCTCGACGGAAGTTGGCATGGGCTTCTCGGGCTCCTCCCCCAGATCCATGATCCGGATGGCATTTTCCTTCTTGGAAAGCCAGAAGGCAGGGTAGACTGGCTCTGAAAACCGGCACTCGAACTTGTGAATCAGAGTCATGGCATCAGGCTCCACACCATAGAAGGAGAGGATCCCTCCTGGAAAGTCGACATAGACCCCCAGCCTCCGGAAAGGGCTGGCTTTGAGCGGGGTTTCCGTGTCACTGTGCCAGGCTGTGAACTCCTTTCCGTTCCAGTGGAGGCTCCACGAGAAGTTGTTTCCAGAAATGCAACTGTTGCGTTCCTCCCCTTTCCGATCAATGCCTTTGCAGGTCAGGCCAACATAGGTGCCCGCCCCGGAGATCTCTACCTCAAAATAGTACCTGCGTAGGTACAGGCTCTGTTGGGACAGCACCTGTCGCCAGTGCACAAACCTGCTGGGGAGGTCCGGGTAGGGATGCTCCCAGGGCGTGGTGTTGGTGACCTTGCGATTGTCCTCCTGCAGTCTCAGATACCTGTGTGCCGTGTCCGGGTCAAAGGAGATATCACATGCATCTGAGGGGATGAAGAAGGGCAGGCAGGCAGGTCAGGAACTGGCCGCTGCTTGGGACAGAACACTTCCAACCCAGCCCACCTCCCAAGTACGAATCAACATCCCTCTCCTCTTCTTTGCACAGGTCGATGCTCCCCGCAATAAAGAGGTGGGCAAAAACCAGAGAACAGAGACCACAAGTCACTCTACTTCCTTCCTTCTGAAAGTTCAGATTGCTTGGCATTTACTGTGTTATCTGTGGAAATGAACCAAGAAATAAAATCTGGGACGCCTGGGTGGCTCAGTGGTTGAGTGTCTGCCTTTGGCTCAGATCATGATCCCAGGGTCCTGGGATTGAGTCCCACATCGGGCTTCTTTCATGGAGCCTGCTTCTCCCTCTGCCTGTGTCTCTGCCTCAGAGTGTGTGTGTATGTGTCTCTCTCATGAATAAATAAATAAAATCTTTTTTAAAAAAAGAAAGAAAAAAGAAAATCTGCTGGTCTAGTCATTTGTTCATTCAACGAGTATGTATTGAAAACCATGCACTATTCACTATTCTCAGTGTCAGCAAGGTCTTGTGAAAACAGGCACTCACACATCCACACTTGAGTCTTTTTTTTTTTTTAATTTGACCAACATTTAGCTGGGTAAACTCTCAAATGTTCCCTCAAACATATTCTCTTCCTGATTCCAGAGAATAAAAAAGTAATGGCACCTCCACGTACCCTGTTGCTCAAGTCACACTAAAGTTATTTTTGAAATTTCTTTCCCACCATCCTCACCACCCACTTCCCCCACACAGACAGCATCAACTCTGTAGATCCCTCTTCTGTCCAAACCACTGCTTCACCCTCAACCTAGTCCAGAATAGACTAGATTGCTGACCATGCTGCTCTGCTTGAACCTCTTCCAGCACTTCTCTTCCACAAGGCCATGGAGCATGTTTCAGGGCGTAGGCTTAGGTATATCTTGTCACCCCAGCGTCAAGACCCCGGTTGGTGCCTCTTGCCCATGGAATAAAGCAGTGATCCCTCCTCCCAGCCTGCACAGCCGTTCATGACTGGCCCTTGCCTGTGTCCCCAGCTTTGTCTCCTGCCCACTAGCCCTGGATTGCCATGCTCCAGGCACCCTGACCTCAGAAGCATGCAACCCTGAGCCCACTTCAGGGCTTTAGCACAGACCATTCCCTCTATGACATGATCATCACCCTCACCTGAGCCTAGGTGATTCCTACTGATCCTTTCAAATTGTAGCTAAGGGTTCGTGTCCTCAAAGAGGCTCTCTGTGACTCCCCACCACTTTCTCTCAGAGCACTCTCGCTTCTCAAGCTTCATGGTACTCAACACAATGTGTATACTCTATTTATTTATGCGTTTTTTTCATGCTTATCTTCCTCCTAATCTCTACACTCCACATTTCACATAGGACTCTATCCCGGTGTTCTAGCTCAGAGATGTTCAGAATATATTTTCCAAATGAACTAGCGCATTTGAGTCTATTTGAAATCTATTAATATAAAAAATTATTTGGATTAACGCAGAGTTTTCCAAATTCCTTTGTGTCTAGGTAAAGAAATTCTTTTTTTTTTTTTAATCTAAGAAGTTAAAAGGAAAAATGAAGGGGTGCCTGGGTGGCTCAGTTGGTTGAGTGTCCAACTCTTGATTTCGGCTCAGGTCATGATCTCAGGGTTGTGAGATCAAGCCCTGTGTCATGATCCATGCTCAGTGTGGAGACTGCTTGAGATTCATATTCTCTCTCTCTCTCTCTCTCTCTCTCTCTCTCTCTCCCTCTGCCTCTCCTCCAGCTCTCTCTCCCTCTCTCTTAAAAATAAATAAAAATTTTTTAAAAAAGGAACAAGGAATGTGAACTGAGGACCTAGGTATATAGGTGCTCACTTTGGCAGCATATATATAAAATGGGAACGATACAGAAATTAGCAATGTCCAGGTGACATGCAAATTCATGAAGTGTTCCTTATTTTTGAAGGCAAAGGTACAAAGTTCTAGTTAGATAAGTCCAGGGGATGTCATGTACAGCATGGTGACTATACTTAACAATACCATATTGCATATTTGCAAGTTGCTAAGAGAGTAGATCTCAAAAGTTCTCATCATAAGAAAAAAGAATTCGGTAACTACATGAGGTGATGATTTATTTTAAAGATTTTATGTATTTATTCATGAGAGACACAGAGAGAGAGAGGCAGAGACATAGGCAGAGAGATAAGCAGGCTCTCTGTGGTGAGCCCAATGCGGGACTTGATCCCAGAACCCCAGGATCAGGCCCTGAGCCAAAGGCAGATGCTCAACTGCTGAGCCACCCAGGAGTCCCCATGTGATAGATGTTAACCAACCTTATTGTGGTGATCATTTCACAATATATGCATATGTCAAATTATTATATTGTATACCTAAAACTAATAAAAGTCATATGTCAATAATATCTCAAAAATGTGTTTTAAAAAGGCATCTTTTTTCAAAGATTTATTTATTTTAGAAAGAGAGAGAGTGAGCATGAGTGAGGGGAGGAGCAGAGACAGAGAAATAGAAGCAGACTCCCTGCCGATTGGGGGACCCAATGTGGGGCTTAATCTCACAATCCTGAGAGATTATGACTTTAGCCAAAACCAAGAGTCAGACAGACACCCAACCAACTGAGCCACCCAGGCACCTGAAAAAAGGCGTATTTTTAAAACTACCTGCAGCTCTGTGTTCCTAAAAGTTCCCAATAGCACCCGCAGCAGACCTTTACTGACCAACTCCTTTGGCAATCCTTAACATCCAGGTATCGAACAATAACATTCTTCTCATCTAAGGGCATCCAGGACTTCGTGGCAAGTAGGTGACTCAATGTATTGGGACAAGAAAGTCAGAATGGGTCTGGAATATTCTGTTAGTGCCAGAAAGCAACGATACTTTTCAGGATTTCAAGGGCAGAATGCCAATACCTAAAGGAGAAAGAGTGGCAGGACACCTGGGTGGCTCCATCGGTTCTGAGCAGCTGACACTTGGTTTCAGCTCTAGTCATGATCTCAGGGTCCTGGGACAGGCCACACATAGGGCTCTACACTCAGCAAGGAGGCTGCTTGAGATTCTCTCTTTCCCTCTCCCTCAGCCCCTCATCTCACTCTAAAATAATCTCTCTATAAAATAAAGAAGTCTAATTAAAAAAAAAAAACGGTTTAAAGGAGAAAGAGTGGCTCCCACTTATCAAGTTGGCAGTTTGAGCCACACGACTTTGACAGGTCGAACAATGTGAGTCTCTAAAAGGCTCAAAGTTCATAATGATACCCAAAGAGGCAAAGTTAATATTAGGTGTGAAAAAAAGACTTCTGTAATCGCAAATAAGATAGATAGGTTATAATAGGATACACTTCATATTTATCTTCATGTTAAGAATAAGGGCTGTTTGGTTTCTTGTACTAATTACATCTGTGTATAAAAATACAGATGTGCTTCTGTTGGGAAGCAGGAGAGAATAAATAAAGGAAACTGTGTAAGTAAAGAGGTCCTGGGAAAACGCAGGAGCTGTGGGCAAAAACAGAGACAGTCCTCAGAACCCGAGGTTCCATGGGATAACTGGAAAAAAAGGAGGTCTAACAGTCAACCAGTGGTCACCCCCAGGAAACAAGCAGTAGCAAGGTTCAACGGCATGTTCCAAAAAGATTAATTCGCCAAATGTCATAAAAATGAGTCTCAACATTATGCAGTCCTGCCTCTCCTGGGACTTGCTAAGTACCGACCAAAATAACAGTGTTTTAAAACATGCTAACAACAACAACAAAAAAAACATGCCAACAGACCAGGTCAACACCACATCATGACAGGACAATGGGTTATGCAATTCCAGCTGAGCCAGACTTCAAAGGGAGTCATTTGGTAACTAGCCAGGATCTTCCAAAGTGCCAAGCTCACAAAAGACAAAGTAAGGGACAGGACCCAGACTGGGGGAGTCTAAGGAGGAAGGAAAACATCTGTGACCCTAGATCAGACTATGGGTCAGAAAAAGGACATTGGTTGGAACGCCTGGTGAAACACTTGAATAATTCTACAGATTAGATAATAGCAGTGTAACAACATTCATTTCCTGGTTTTGGTCAATGCACCACAGTTATACAGAGTGTTAATGTTTGGAGAAGTTGGATGAAAGGTATGCAAGAATTCTTTGTCCTGTTTTTGTAAATCTGAAATTCCCTCCAAGATGAAAAGTAAAAATACAAATTTTTTTAATGTTCCATTTAGGAGTAGACCTGAGGTCGCAAGAACCTGAAACTTTCATGAAGGCCGGTGCTCTTGCTCCAACGGAGCATAACACTGACATCTAATAAATGGTTAAGGGAAGCTGTTTGCAACTTACATTGGAGGAACTGTTGCCTGGTGCTGGGTTCAGGTTTTGAGGTCCAATACTTGCGCTCGATAACAGCAGACACGTGAGTGCTGATATTATATTCCTCTAGGAAATCAGAGAGTTATGAATGCACACCTGTCCAGGTGGTGAGAACCTAAGAAGCAGGACATCCCAGCCACTCTTCCCTTGGCTCCCCGGGAGAAAACAAAGAGCTGCACTCTAGTCGTGTCAGAGACAATCATGCTCAGTGGGTGATTTCTCTCATGGGGAAGCAAAATATGCTGGAAAATGATCTCAGAATGGCTTGGATTTCACTTAAAGTATAGGTGTTAGCAACCTCTGAAACTAGTCATAGAAATTCCACCCAGTTGCGGGATGTAACTAACTCAGCTTCTATGGGTCTCAATCATAAAATAAAACCATCATGGTAAGTGTCCATTAGCAACCCATCTGGCCAAAGGATGGCTTTGAAAATTCCCTGATTTGCCCTCCCTCACATTCTGAGGAAAACACATACCACAGCCCAGGACTCAGACAGCTTTCCTCACCTTCCTTGGAGAAATCCTGGAGCTTCTCCTTGTAGTTCTGCAGCAACTGGATTAAATGCACCGTGGAGTCTGTGATGACCTTGCGGATGCCCGAGAGCTTATCTTTGAGTCCTATGTAAACACTGGGGAAAGCACTGTCCTCCATGTTCGTAAACTTGCAGTACTCCTGCAGGAAGGGGAACTTGCCTTCATTTCTGTATTTCTGAAACTGGACTGCTCTCATTACATCACCTCCTGCATCTGCAAAATGGGTTGATGGTAATGTGCCCTTCACAAAGCAAGCATGCACAACATGTCTGGCTCAGGACCCAACAGCATAGCAAGCTGTTTATGGTTTTTGGGGGGTTTTGGGTTTTTTTTTTGGGGGGGGGATTGTGGTTGTTTTTCTTTAACTAGGAAATGGGCTTTTAAAAACCAAGAGAGGGATCCCTGGGTGGCGCAGCACTTTGGCGCCTGCCTTTGGCCCAGGGCACGATCCTGGAGACCCAGGATCAAATCCCGCATCGGGCTCCTGGTGCGTGGAGCCTGCTTCTCCCTCTGCTTGTGTCTCTGCCTCTCTCTGTGTGTGTGTGTGTGACTATCATAAATAAATAAATAAATAAATAAATAAATAAATAAATAAATAAATAAAAATAAATGATTAATTAATTTAAAAACCAAGAGAGACACACACAAAAAGAAAAAGAAAAAAATTAAGAATCAAGAGACGCTAGCCGCCTGGGAACAGCTCCAATGCACCTCCCAGACTACAGACCAAGAACAAAAACAAGGTGTGTGCCAACAGCCCAAATAGCAACAGTAGCATTCCTGCTACATTCATTCCTGAAGGACTTTTTTTTTCTTTCTTTTTTTAGAAAAAATTTTAGAGGTTTTATTTCTTTATTTGAGAAAGCGACAGAGAGAGAGAGAAAGAGAGAGCTCAGGGGGAGGGGCAGAGGGAGAGGGAGAAGCAAGCTCCCTGCTGAGCAGGGACCCCCACCCCAGGGACCCCACCCCCACCCCACCCACATGGGGCTTGATCCCAGGACCCCAGGTTCCTGACTTGAGCCCAAGGCAGACACTTACCAGACTGAGCCACCCAAGCACCCCTCTTTTTCAGAATTTAAACACAAGCTATGGCTTATGGGAGGGGTGAGTGGAGGAGCAGGTGCAGCACTTGGAAGACCCAGGACCAAGTCCTCAGACAGGAATGCTGCCTCTGCCTTGTCCGTTCAATCCCATACACAGGCTCTCTCTAATTTTTGCACTGTGCTTTGGAGTTCGAACAGTGCTTTCAGGTAAATAACCATATTAAATTGCCTAAGCTTCCAATCAACTGGGTGATCAGGAAAGGCTGCTTTCAGATGCAACACAGTATCAAAATCCAAACTCAGCTGGAGCATTGCAGGGCCCACTGGCTGTAGCAGAAAACTTAGCAATAGAAACAGCTGCTTCTGTTGAGCCCAGGTGGCTCAGTGGTTTAGCGCTGCCTTCAGCCCAGGGTGTGATCCTGGAGACCCAGGATCGAGTCCCACATCGGGCTCCCTGCATGGAGCCTGCTTCTCCCTCTGCCTGTGTCTCTGCCTCTCTGTGTGTGTGTCTCTCATGAATAAGTAAAATCTTAAAAAAGAAAGAAAGAAAAAACAATTGTACCAAAATGGTTAGGTAGAGAAAGAGAAGAAAAAGGCCAACCCACAGGATAGATAGAAAGGTAAGCATTTTGGGGCACCTGAGTGGCTCAGTCGGTGAAGTGTCTGCCTTCGGCTCAAGGCTGTAATCCCAGAGTACTGGGATTGAGCCCCAGGTCAGAGTCCTGGGATCCGGCCCTGGGTTAGGGTCCTGGCTCAGTGGGGAGTCTCCTTCTCCCACCCCCACCTCTGGCTCATGCTCTCCCTCAAATAAATAAATAATCTTTAAAAAAAATAATAAAGGAGGAAAGTTATTGACTCTGGCCTGATTGTCTGATAAATGAGGCATTTGAGACCTAGAGAGGTTAAGTGACTTGGTTAATAACCACACAGCTATCTAGTGACACATCTGGGATGATGGAATTTATACCCAATCTCTGCAAGATTATGCGTCCTTCAGATGTGGGCCTAATGGCACGAGGCTTAGTGTATAAGGAATTGCCCTGTAATGAACGTCCCATCTCTGCTGAGCCTTACTAGATCAACCAGCACATGCAGCCCTCTCTGAAGGGCAAGAGGTCTCCAGCCTCACCCCTGCCAGGTACACTGATCTCAGCTCATCACTTCCCCCCTGAAATCCTCCACCGGCGTAGGTGACTTCAAGCAGAGGAACAAAGTTCTCTCACAGTCAGATGCCTGCCTGGCCGGGCCAGCCTCACCTCCATCCCTAAGTGCTCAGCAACCCACGCCCCAGCCTTGGGAAAGCGCTTTATTCCCCACAAATCAGCTGCACTTTCTCAAACCCCTCTACCTGTGCATAGGCCGTTCTCTCCCCGCAGCTCCCCGTGCACCCCACTATCAAAGAGCAGTTCCATTCCGATGTTCCCCACATCTGCCACAGGCCTAGCAGAGTAAGGGTGCTCCCCGGCACTGGCAGCCCGATGCCTCTGCCTCCGTGCCCCCGCCTCCCCCCTGCCCTCGTACCTCCAGAAACAGGACAGTGTTGCTTATGGCAGCGATCCTCTCCAGCTCCTGCTGCCTCTTCTCCATCTGTGCGCCCCTGTGCTCCAGGTGAGTCTTGATGCCGTTGGCCTGGCTCAGAGCCGCTTGTTCCTTCTCCTCCAAGAAGAGCATCACGTCGGCCTGGGCCTTCCTCATGGCAGCAAGCAGTTCCCCAAACTGCTCCTCGGCCACCACCTTCACCTCTGACACGGACATCTGGGGAGGGAGGGGCAGTGAAGAACATGCTAGCAAGGCGTTCAACCTTCTTGAAGCTCAGCACACAGGTCCCTAAACCGGAGAAACCCGTAGGTAGGGAGCGATTTTCTATTGTAAAAGGAAGGTTTTATTCACCTATGAATCCTGGGGTGCTGGAAAAAGCAGATTTGCCCTCCAGGGTAATTCGCCATCATCAACCTTGTCTCTCAGACTTCTTTTTTATTTTTAAAGATTTTGTTTATTTATTCATGAAAGACGCAGAGACACAGGCAGAGGGAGAAGCAGGTTCCCTGTGGGGAACCCGATGTGGGACTGGAGCCCAGGTCCCCTGGATCCCGACCTGAGCCGAAGGCAGATGCTCAACCACTGAGCCACCCAGGTGTCCCATCATCTCTCAGACATTTGATGATCTCTGAGAACCCTGCCAGCTCTGACAGTCTGGGGTTACCATTCAAGTGTCTAAAATCATTTCTCCTACCAGGGCAATGCAGGGTTGATGGTTATATTTCTTGAAGGGAAATTGATCATTTAGCTTCTCTGAACAAATCAGGAGCATGAATTCGCTTTCTCTGTGTTTCATGGCATCATGAGTCCATCGAACTGAATACACATGGAAGCTCACGGTTTCTGTACCAGGCACAAAATATTTAGGGTATGGGTAGGTGGCCTTGGCACCTGAGCATGGCAACACGAGCATACCCCGGGCAGGAAGAAGGGGGTGTCCAAATAAAATACAAAGCGACCGTGTGATAAACACTAAGGGTTTGCATGATGGCATGTAGGCATGTGCATGTGTACTTTCTACCCTTTCACAGGATGAACATCCTTTAGAAATGCCTTCAGTCATTATCATATTTATAACATCAGTCCAAGTGTAAATGCTTTCCTCTGTCCTTTGCTAGTTCTTAAGGACCAGTGTTAACAGCTCCCTCGGATACTGTCCAGTTTAAACTTCATCCAACTGTCTTAGACACACTTTCCTTTGCTCATATTCTCCTCACCTCATTCCACAGCCCAGAGTGTGTTCTCTACCTGCCTCAATCTACCCCCACCATCATCCCCACCCACACCAATCCCATCTGAGAGCAATCAGAGCAACCCCTCCAGGGCTGTTTTTCTGTTCCCCCTCCTGAGAGTAAGGGCCATCCCTGGGTATCCACAGGGAGCCCAAACAACAGATAGCTCGCAGGCTGAGGCTGCTAGGGCAGCTCTGTCCCCTGGCAGGAAGGATGGGGAGGGGAAGAGGAGAATTAGAAGGGCCTGGAAAGGGAAGGACTCAGAAAGGTTGGCACTCTGGGCTCAAGGGCATGTGGAAGCCTCAAGGTCTGGAGGGAGATGGGAAGAAATGATGACACCAGGCAGGAGGAGCTCTGCTTGGCTGGGGACTCTGGAATACAAGCCCACAAGTGAGCCTAGGGGTGGCCTAGTCTTTGATCTGCTGGGAAAGGAAGGAAGGGAAAATGAAGCAAGGGCATCTCTACTGGGGGCAGAGAGATGGGTAGAGCCTCTCTACATTGTGATTTTCCTTTTTTTTTTTTAAAGATTTATTTATTTATTAATGAGACAGAGAGAGAGAGAGAGAGAGAGAGAGAGAGAGGCAGAGGGAGAAACAGGTTCCATGCAGAGAGCCTGATGCGGGACTCGATCCCAGGTCTCCAGGATCACACCCTGGGCTGAAGGCGGCACTAAACCACTGAGCCACCTGGGCTGCCCTACATTGTGATTTTCATGCCAACTGCCCCATCACTTCGTGGTTTCAAGGCTGGGGCAGCTGAACAGAATTAGAAACAAATGAGCCCATAATAGGGACTAAGTAGGAAGGCAGATGGGAGATCTTCTCCAAATTCCTCAAGCCCAGACATAGAAGAGCTTGTAGAGAAGAGCAGCTGTTGTGTACGTGCCCAACGTTAAATTTCTCATCCCTGAAGCATCAATTTCAAAAGGCATCCATCTGGAATAAACATATTGCCAGCTGTGGGACACGGCTAAGAGCAGCACAACCAGATAAGGAATTGGGCCACCCCCACCCATGAAGCTTCCTCTTTCAGAAAGCCCTGAAATCTAGACAACTGACCCCTTGAGTGACCCTGCTTCTTCCCAAGCCTGAATTCCTGCTCTTATGCTTTAAATAAGCCAACTAAGAGTGAACCCATGAAACCCTAGACACCCGCCTTCAACTCCAGGAAAGGCAGATCCCAGGTCTGTACCTCTCCCTCCCTCTCTTTTCCTGTGACCTTGAAGTAGGGCAGTGTGGCCCTCAGGCAGCGTTCTGTGCCTTCCAGGACCTTTGAGTAATAAACTTTGTTCTCCAAATCGCCCTGACAGTTTCTTGCTGACATGAGTCTGGCAATCACAAATTTCTCATGGAAGCACCACACCATGAGGCTGAGAAGTATGAATCTTAAAGAATCCACATCCCTCTCCTCCACCAAGGCCCTTCTGAGGAAGGGTGATGGAAGAAAGCTTGGACTGATGTTGGAGGATTGACTCTTCCGCTGTCAAATGTGACCTCTCCTTCCTAAACCGTTTTACGGAGAAATACTTCTTCCTTGCATATAAATGCAATGCACAAAGGATTCTATTTACCACCATAATAATGACAAGTAAAGACCAAAGAGAGGAGGGGCCACAAGCATATCAAAGTATCGAAGTTTAAGGTTTAGAGAGATGGAGGATGGTACACGTGCCTCTAGATGTCCTGAGTTTCTTAGGTGGAGGGAACAACAATCTCAGGTTCCTGTTCCATCAATCTGGGGGCCCCAGACCAGTCTTGTTACCTCTTGGTGCATTTCATGTCCCTTGTACATGTTGGCCATTGTGATAACTACCTCCCCAAGTTACCACACAATTATGGGAAGAGCTGAGTAGGAATGGAAGTGTCTGAAAAATAAAGGGCTAGAAAAAAAAGGCAAGATGCTCATGTGGTTCTCTAGATTATCTTGAGCCTGGAAATCAACAATATCTGAAGGTTTGTAAGACTTTAAAGGGACAATTCTTTTTCTTATTTTCATAAGATGATGTGAGTGCAAAAGAGGTATTGATCTTTCACAGCTAGTTAGTTGTAAACCCGAGAAGGAGAAAATTAAATTAAAATGGATACATGCATCAGACATGGATGGATGGATGGAAGGAAGGATGGATGGATGGATGGATGGATAGTTGGATCGAATCATTCATGGAATGCAAAGATGCTGCTACTGAGTCACTACGATAGCTTAGGTGTTTTGCATTCTTTTCTGAGTGATGGTTTGGCTTTCCACTAATGAGAAGTATTTGTGGAACTGTTTGGGTGTACTTAGAGTTTATATGGAAACTGGCCATAAACCAGAGAGACTAAAAGCAAGCAGCCTGGCACACGATTGGCCTTATAAAGTTACCATCCACTAAGCAAGCAGTTCTCCACACCTTTTTCTGGTTTCCAGCACACAGGACTGGCGACACTGCCATGCAAAACACCCTCCTATCATAGGAGAAGCCCTGAGTCTGTCTGATTCTTAGACTTCTAGCTAGATATCCTCTCCACTCCCCGACACACACCTTTTTCCTGGTCAAAAAAGGATAAGCAAGTGTAAAAACAAGAATGCTGTTATAATAGGATTAATCTTGCTCCTACAATGTATTATTTTTTTAAAGATTTAATTTCTTTGCAACAGACGCAGAGAGAGAGGCAGAGACACAGGCAGAGGGAGAAGCAGGCTCCCTGTGGGGAGCCTGATATGGGACTCCATTCCAGGACCCCGGGATCATGACCTGAGCCAAAGGCAGACTCTCAACTGCTGAGCCACCCAGGTGTCCCTCCTACGCTGTATTATTAAAACAGAAATCACTTGCCAATTTTGAACCTTAAACTAATTTCATAGCAAAAGCCCATTGACCTGGAGGGTAGGCCTGCAACCCCGTGTCCCAAAAGGCCAGATGGGCCTGACTGAGCCCACAGCAGCAGCCAGGTGTGCTGACACATGGCAGGTGACCCAGAACAGCCTTACCAAAACAGATTTGTGATTCGCTTGGAGCCTGGCGATGGCATTCTCATTCAACCTGAGTTTCCGTTCCAGTTCTAACTGGGTCTCCCGGAGCTCAGCCTAAGAAGAGAGAAAAACCGTGTTGAGGAGTGTACACAAAATGTCCCCAGGAGCCATGGGGCTATCCACCCTTCTTGCATGGTAAGGAGAATAAGGAGTATTTGACCTTGGGAGCTGCCTCAGAAGCCAGCCTGGGGGGCCTCAAAGGGACATGAAAGGTCAGTTGTGTGGGGATCCCTGGGTGGCTCAGTGGTTTAGTGCCTGCCTTTGGCCCAGGTGTGATCCTGGAGTCCTGGGATTGAGTCTCACATCGGGCTCCCTGCATGGAGCCTGCTCCTCCCTCTGCCTGTATCTCTGCCTCTCTCTCTCTCTCATGAATAAATAAATAAAATCTTCTTAAAAAAAAAAAAAAAGGTCAGCTGTGTGCAGCGCCTCCTGGGGCTGAACTCAACACCAATAGGCCAAAAATGCCTCAAGCACATACATTGTGCTGCGCTGGTCTGATGACTTCCAGCATTTAGCTGGATGACCTCCTATTACCTTAACCACACCCCCATTAGCTAAGTACCACTGACCCCATTTCACAGATGATAACAACCAGCGTCACATGGTTCATCAGTAGAGTCCAGCCCAGTCCCTCTGCCCCCAGAATAACCTAACAAGGAGTATGAGTTGGAGCCAATGGTGGGGACCCCACCTTCTCTTTTCTTTTTTTTTTTTTAAGATTTATTTGTTTATTCATGAGAGACACAGAGAGAGAGGCAGAGACACAGGCAGAGGGAGAAGCAGGCTCCCTGCGAGGAGCCTTATGCCAGACTCGATCCCTGGACCCTGGGATCATGCCCTGAGCCAAAGTCAGACACTCAACCGCAGAGCCACCCAGGCATCCCGACCCCAGCTTTTCTATGTAGCAGCTGATCCTTTGGAAAAATCTTCTTAACATCTCCAGATATCCATTTCTTCACCTGTGAAATGGGGATAACTAAATTGGGATAACTCCCAACACATGGGGGTTTTGTAAAGACTTAGTGAGATAGCATGTGTTATGCGAATGTGTTCTAGCAGCTGGCATGTTGTATGTGCTCCCCAAATGCCATCATGGGTGCCCTTCTTCTTGACCATTGCTACCATGGCCACTTTCCATCACACACTCATCACTCCTGGAGCGGGGCAGAGCCAGCCCTCCCGGCCTAGGCCAGTGCCTGCCTGAGTGAGAACCTCGGGTCTGCCTCTCTGACCCCACTGCCTGCTTCATTCTCCCCTCCCAAGACTCCCTAAGCACTTTCTGCCAAGAAGTGTGGCAAGGCATGACGCCCAAACCTTTGCAGCCTTCAAAGGCCCTACAAGGGCATGAGTCAGCAAAAAAAAGAGAAGAATAGCTTTAAAGGCTTTCAATAGGTTATGTTAGCACTGGAAGCTGTGCCATTTGCACCCTAAGGAAACTCAGAGGGCAAAACGGGTCTCTGCTTTTTCCCACCGAAGCCTGGCAGGAGTGCCCCGCCCCCAACTCTCCACCATCCAGAGGCCTCCCCTCACTCTCCAGAAGGCAGAAAACTTCCTTATTTTGTTTTGCTGGGGATCTGGGATGCTGACTTGGAGCTGGGGGAGCTTTGTGACCCCTCACCCCTGCCCCCGACACCTGTTTAGGTATGGGGGAAGGGTCTGGCCTATTTGGTGGTAGTCTTTATTACACAGTGACCTGTTCCAGGGAAGGGGGAAACACAAAGTGCTTGTTTAACGGTAGTGAGCACACCCTGAACACAACCAAACAATGGGCGTGGGCAGCCCCAGCATGATCCAGAGCCACAGGGAGACTCCCAGAGAGCAACCAGGGAGAGGGCTCTCTCCCCTGCCTGCAGATTGCCATAAAAGGAGAAAAGGACTCCTAAGTTCCTAAAGGGGACCTCTCTAAGTGAGTCACCCCAAGCAAGGAAAGGCACTTGGGATTGCCACAAAGGTGGAGTCACTTTGGGAGACCTGTATCTCCAGTTATTCCTGTTCTGAGAAAAGGACAGGGTGCCTCGGGCTCTGGCTTTAGGGTTTCCCAAGATGTCAGCCATCCACCCACTCTGGGGCCAGGGTGGACCTTGCGCAAAAGTCGGATGGTGGTGCCCATGAGTGCAGACAGCCCTGTATTGATGAGCATGGGGGTCCTGCCTACTTCTTTTTTTTTTTTTTAAGATTTTATTTATTTATTCATGAGAGAGAGAGAGACAGAGAAAGAGAGGCAGAGACACAGGCAGAGGGAGAACCAGGGTCCACACAGGGAGCCCAATATGGGACTCGATCCTGGGTCTCCAGGATCACAACCTGGGCTGAACGCAGCACTAAACCGCTAAGCCACCTGGGCTGCCCTGGGTCCTACCTACTTCAACAAGGTAATGACAAATGTGGTGTAAAAGGTATAGTATTTGGGGTGTGAAGGCCTATCGGATCTCTGTCAAAGCATTTCTCTTCTCCTCTGGTGTAGGGCCACAGGAATGGGTTAACAAAGTTGTTCTTGCTTCTACCTACAAGGGAAAGTGGCACCCAGAGCTTGGGGGTCAGACATGGGGTTAGAGATGCAGAGAGGACTAATGGAAGAATGAGAGGAGGAAATTGCAGGTGGTCCAGGTTCCTCTGTATTTCCAGCCACACAACGGCGGCCCTGCTGGACAGTTTGCGTGTGGGTAGCACCAGAGCTCCACCTGGCCTGGTTCAATTCCTCAGCAAATTGGCCAGAACCTACCACATGCCAGTCCAGTCAAGTAGGATACCCTCCCTGCTCCTGAAAGACATACAGCCTGGTAGAATGTTTAAGAAAAAAAAAAAAAGTTATGTAACACTGAGCCAAGGCATCCCTCAGAATTTCTAGAAGAAATTCTTTTCCTGAGTGCCCTCCACCCTGTGTGTGTTTTGGCTGCCATCAAACAGGCTATATACGATGCTGGTTAACTGCTCCCCCGAGAAGGATGACTACTTATGCCTTACAGAAACTTGCCTCCTGCTCTACACAGAGTCACTTCCAGTTCCTGAACTTTATGGAACCAATGCTGAGACGCAATGTGATGTGGCCTGTCCCTAGTAGACCCATGATCTGAGGCAGATCTTCCCACCTCCAAGAACCCAGTCCTGACCTCACTCCTGCTGACAACTCCATCTTGGAACGTGGAGCGGTTCTGCGGCCTCAGCCCTTTGGTACTTGAGAGGAGCCACAGAACATGCCTTGGCTCATTAGAGTCCAAGCTCCTTGAGGACAGACAGTGCAGCCTGTCAATGGGAAGCAATCCATGATGCTTGATAAGCTTAAGGAAGAATACGAAAGACCCACATACATTTCCTGAGTCAGAACAGGAACATGGCCAAAGGATCCAAGTTTTAATAGGCACGCATGCGTGAATGCACGTACACAGCAAGTCTGGCTGACCTTCAAAGCAAAGGGGCCTTAGGAAGCTGGCCTGGAGCGCCCATCAGTCCCATTCAGGAAGACTTGGGGTGTGGGGGGTGTTTCTGGAAGCCCAGCAGGATAGAAGATCAAAGATCAAAAAACAAAGAATACCCACCTCCAAAATCCAGAATTTTTGCCCATTGGCATAGCTAGAGACCAGGGGAGCTTCAGCAGGGGCTCACTTGGTTCACCTGCAGATCTGGCCATGCAGGTTCTCAGCTACTTTTGTCCTTGTGGCTGACCCTGCCATTTATACTTTCCTACAAAAACACGCCTGCTTGAATAATTAGCCCTTAACACCATCCAAAGTGACCTTCTGCATGCTGCTCCAGCAGGCTGGGGCTAGCTGAAGGGGATACAAGGCTTCTGGAGCCTTCATTATGTCTCTAGTAAAGCTTTCCAAATAATCCTGGTGGCATTTGCAGTCTCATCAAGCCACTGTGTCGTCGGGGCTAGTCTCTTGGCCTCCTTATGAGAAATCTTTTGGCTCCTAAGACTTGGCAGAGCCATCTAGAGTGTGGCTGTACTTATGAAGTAAACTTGCTCTCTGAGCTGAAAACAAGGACACAAGATAGAAAAAACAAGAGCTCTTATGCAGACCAGAAAGGTAGAGGTTTTGAACTGGGGTCCTCACCAAAAATCTGGGGCATGAGGCTGTTGGGTTGTTCATGTAGCTGTGATGGCTTTTCAACACCAAAAATTGCCCTGGAGCCCTTTACCCAGTTCTTATTTTACCTTACACAGCCCTCCCCTAGGATGCCTGAATTTGGGATTCTGTATATGCTCTACTGCACTTTTCCCTAACTCTGTGATGCACCAGTTGGTTGACACTGTGTTTAAAATTCATATTGTAGGGATCCCTGGGTGGCGCAGCGGTTTGGCGCCTGCCTTTGGCCCAGGGCGCGATCCTGGAGACCCGGGATCGAATCCCACGTCAGGCTCCCGGTGCATGGAGCCTGCTTCTCCCTCTGCCTGTGTCTCTGCCTCTCTCTCTCTCTCTGTATGACTATCGTAAATAAATAAATAAATAAAATTAAAATGTGTCTTTAAAAAAAAAAAAAATAAAATAAAAAATAAAATTCATATTGTTGGGATCCCTGGGTGGCGCAGCGGTTTGGCGCCTGCCTTTGGCCCAGGGTGCGATCCTGGAGACCCGGGATCGAATCCCACGTCGGGCTCCCGGTGCATGGAGCCTGCTTCTCCCTCTGTCTGTGTCTCTGCCTCTCTCTCTCTCTGTGTGTGACTATCATAAATAAAAAATAAAGAAAAAAAAATAAAATTCATATTGTATCTCTACTGGTACAGACACAAAATTTCTGAAAGGAAACAGAAGAAAGCAGAGATAGTAGTGTTTGCCTGAGGAAGGAGGTAGGGGGGATCCAGGATGAAAGGGAGACCTTTTCCTGATATAATCTATTACAACGCTTGGTGGAGATGGCTTTTCAACATGTATATGCATCACTTCTTCCAGTTAAATATAGTAACATTCAGATATTATACCCAAAACCCAAAAAGAACAGCAGTATACTTTGTCTTAATATCTCTACTCTGTGTGTGGCAGAATTTTGGTACAAAAAAAAAAGTGAAATTATAATATTGTGATCTTGGGGTCCTCTACTCATGTTCCCCATGTAGGGTGGCTTTCCAAAAGCATCCCCTCCTCACTCCATGACTTAGTTGTCTGTATGCATTTGACAAAATGTGAAGATAAAAAGAATTGCCACTCTAGAGTTATCTGAGGACTGAATGAGAAAATCCACCTTCGGCACACAGCAATGCTCCATGAAGCCTATTTTGCTCAACCATCTGTTGGTACAGAGCATCTCCATGGTTAAAGAAAAGCATTACACAGAACCTCGTCCTGGTTATGAGAGGCAGTGTACTGCTTTCCTGACAGGACATTCCCTGACTCCAGAAACAATGAAAGCAATTGGCAAGTGGCTTCCTGAGCTGGGAATGGTGACTCACTGGCATCTGGAGCTTTCCAGAACAATTCCCACTAACACCAGATAAAATTCTATGCCTGAGAAAAGACATGGAGGAGGGGCCTTGGCAAGTAAAGTGCCCTTCCCAGAAAGTCCTTCCCCTTGCTGCCCAGGAATATTGGACCAAGGAGTTGTCCGGGGTCTCCCGCCCTGTGCTGTGCAAACAGGGAGCTGCCAGCGGTATGAATGTAAGTAATGTGGGAGAAAAGTCAACTACACTACTCCCACTAAGAAAGAAAATAAAGTACTCGTGAAAAGTCCAGGTATGGGGATCCTTGGGTGACTCAGCGGTTTAGCGCCTGCCTTTGGCCCAGGCTGTGATCCTGGAGTCTTGGGATCGGGTCCCATATCCGGCTCCCGGCATGGAGCCTGCTTCTCCCTCTGCCTGTCTCTCTCTCTCTCTCTCATGAATAAATAAATAAAATCTTTTTTTTAAAAAAAAAAAAAAAAGGAAAGTCCAAGTATGAGAAACAAAGAATACAAAGTAGCTAAATTGGGGCGCCTGGGTGGCTCCCCTGGTTAAGCATCTGCTTTCTGCTGGGGTTATGATCCCCAGGTCCTGGGATCGAGCCTGGCATTGGGCTCCCTGCTCTGTGAGGAGCCTGCTTCTCCCTCTCCCTCTGGCTGTTGCTCTGCCTGCTTGTTTGTTTTCTCTCTCTCTCTCTCTCTCTCTCGTCAATTAAATAAGTAAAATCTTTAAACAAAAGTAGCTAAATCCATTCCCAAGAACTTCTCCATGTTTTCAGCTTTAGGGCAAAGAAAAACTGGTTGTTCTAGAAAACATCCTATCTGATGGGAATTAAATTACAGGCTGTGAGCATGGTGTTTCTTGGTCCCTCCTGGTACCTCTATCTGATGAGGAATTTCTATTTTCCCTAAGTTAAGCCATCCTTGACATGGTACCTGGGGGTAAGTTTCCAATTCTATGCTACCTTAGTGGTTTTCAAGCTCTCAGATTTCACACCAGGTTATCTCTAGAGGAGCACTTTCTACTGGTCTCCCATTTAGGGTAAAGGGGGAAAGAAAAGAGATAAAAGTAAAAAAAAAAAAAAAAAAAAAAAGACTTTTTTCCTCTTGAATTTCTGCCAAGGCTTACGTTTCACAATTGCCACACAGATCCAGCCAGAAGGAGATGTCACTGCCCTAAGCCCCACAAGTCCTGCACCCCACACCCAAAAACACATCCGTCACGGAAGGCTGAGTGAGAGACAGGTAAGCAGCAAGCATGAGGGAGAGAGACACACACACACAGAGATAGTCCAGGAGCAGCAGGACGGAGATGGGAGTAGAGTGACCTACTTCAGTTTCCAAAGTCAAGTGCAATAGATATTTACCCTGGAGGAACAGCCAGGCGCTAGGGCTGGAGCCCTTGTCAGGACCCAGGAGCATAGAAGCCAAGCCGGCAGCCCCGGGGACGGTGGCCCAGCCTCTCCCTGCGCACACCACCTCCCCACCACCCCCTCCTGGATGGACCCTAGCACTCGCCTCCTTGTCCCTGCGGGCAGCATCCAAGGAGACCCAGGCGTGGCCCTTGTGCTCCTCCTGGCCACACTCCTGGCAGATGCACTGCGCATCGGGGCGGCAGAAGGCCACCAGTGGGCTGCGGTGGGCAGGGCAGGTGCGCAGGTCCCGGTCCTTCACCGGCTCGGTCAGCTGGTGGCTGTGCAGCTTGCTGTTCTCCTGGTGAGGCCGCAGGTGCTCCTCGCAATAATTCACCATGCAGGTCAGGCAGGACTTGACGGCCTTCACCCTGCCCGTCCCCAGGCAGAAGTCACACAGGACCTCCGCCTCCCCTTCGCTGGCAGGACTCCCCTCTGTCTCCCCCGGGGAGCCCAGGTCCTCTTCTTCTGCCGGGCTGCCCGACCCAGAGTCTGAGCTGACGGTGGCCAGAGAGTGAGCGGTGATCCCGGGCAGTGGCCCTGGAGCCATCAGCTCCAGCTCAGCCATTTGGAAGACTCTGGCGCTGAAACTGCCCCTCCTCTGCCCCTCGGCCCTGGATCTTGTACAGACCAAGTCCACCGAGAAAACCACGCCTATAGGATTGCAGCTGTCACTGGAGTTTAACTGTTTCCGCCCTCCCGGCCTCCCGGAGGAAGCTCAGTCATCACTTTGCCCGAGGCTTGGACAGCCGCCAGCTGCAGTGATGACGAGGCAGCTAAGTTGTTCAGGCTGAGGACAGCAGCTCCGAAGTCTCTCCATGGGCTCCGGCCCCTCCTAGGCCTAGCCCCGAAACTTCTCTTCTTGTGTGAATCATTTGCTCCCCATAGGCTCAGCCACAGACCACATGTGTCTATGGTCGCTCTGGAAAGAATTAGAGATTCCTGAGCTCTGCTGTGGAAAGCCTACATTGCTTTATGAGGCTGGCCAGGCAAAATTTTTGCTTGTATTTTTTAAAGTGATCTAAAGTGTCAGGACTTCAACGACAGGACAGCCCTTTATCCCGTCCCATCTCATAGAACTGGACATGAGGCACCTAAGAAAGGAATATATGTCCCTGACCCTGACCTTGCCCATACTGCCTTCTCGCAAATGGGTATTCGGGGAGTCAGGGAAGAATGTGTCTCCTTCCACAAAAAGCTCCATTCAGACAGCTCTCCCAGCTACATGTCCCACCCCAAGTTTCCTAGAAAGAGAAATGTAGCAAGAAACAGCCCCTTTGTCCACCTAATAAGATGTTCCTGGGCATGGTGTATGAGTTTCCTTGTGCTGCCATCATGAAATACCACAGACTGGATGATAGAAACAACAGAAGGGGCACTTGGGTGGCTCAGAGGTTGAGCATCTGCCTTAGGCTCAGGGCATGATCCCACAGTCCTGGGATAAAGTCCTGCATCAGGCTCCCCTGCAGGGAGCCTGCTTCTCCCTTTGCTATCTCTCTGTGTCTCTAACGAATAAATAAATAAAATACTTAAATAAATAAATAAATAAATAAATAAATAAATAAATAAATACCCTGTCTCCAAATACAATCATATTATGAGGTCCTGGGGTTTAGGAGTTCAACATATGAATTTGGGAGAGAAAGACAGAATTCAGCCCATAACACATGGCCAAAGGATGAGACAGGAAGCATCCAGCTCCTTAAAAGAAAGGAGCTCCCAGGGATCACCGCTGGATGGGGATACACAGTGTACTTAGTATCTGCCACATGGGCACCAAGGCACCCAGGATGATTCCAGGGTGGCTATACAGGCCCCAGAGCCTCAGCGGCTGATGAGAGGCTGTTGAAGCAGCCTGGTGTCCACCTGGCCTCTCTCATTCATTCCTTCATCTCATTCCCACTCTCCTTTCACAAATTATTTCCCTGCCTGCCCCTCCTCTATTGCCAGTCCTATAGGGCAGTTCGGGGGCATATTCAGACCTTCTCTGGGTCTGCACTGGGGAGCCTAAGCTAGCAGGTGGTCCGCAGCAGCAGCAGCAGCAGCAGCAGCATGGAAAGTAGGAAATCTGGATTTCAGTCCCCGCCTGGCCTGAGAAAATCCCTTGTCCCCATAAAACCTGAGTTTCCTCACCCATAAAATGAGCATGTCAGGGGGCACCTTGGAGGCTCAGTGGTTGAGCGTCTGCCTTTGGCTCAGGGTGTGATCCCGGGGTCCTGGGATCTAGTCCCACATCGGGCTCCTCGCAGGAAGCCTGCTTCTCACTCTGCCTGTGTCTCTGCCTTTCTCTCTGTCTCTCTGTCTGTGTGTGTGTGTGTGTGTGTGTGTGTGTGTGTGTCTCATGAATAAATAAATAAAACCTTAAAAAAAAAATCAGCCCGAGTCAGGGCTTGCAAATAAATTCCTGGCTTGGCTCTCTGGAGCATTGTGCTATCTCTGACTTCACATCTGAGCTTACTGGGAGAGTGGAGTTTGTCTGGAGGCCCACATCTAGCCCTC